TCGGCCGCCCCAGGCGGGAGGCTGCGGCCGCGGCAAAACCGACCAGCCCCCGGGACGGGCGGCAGGAGAGAGTAGAGGTAGACTAGGCAGGACGGCGGGCCCAGGCGCCGGTCGCGGCCGGCTGGCGAGGGAACCACCGAAGACCTCGTGCCAGCCTGTGGGGCAGGGACTTAGCCGAGGATTCAGAGGCCCCCCAACGTCGGGAGCCAGGGAGCTCGCCAGTGACCCTTGGACTCCCCAACACCTTCCTGAACCCCGGAACCCCGGTTAGTTAATCTCAGCCCTTTGCACCCCCTGGCAGATCATCCCGCGGTCCCATCCCAGGCCCTGCCTTCCTGGTTACCCACCCTGGGCACAGAAAGGACGGAAGTGTTGGGGCAAATCGGGGCTTACGGCCCCTGAACCCTGGCTGAGGAGGGGAGCAAGGCACTAAGGACAGGGGTGCTGCTCAGCCGCCTCCGCTGCTTTCCTGGGAGACTGAAGGGGAGAAGCCAAGCCCCCTGCAAAATGTAGCAAATGTCTGGATGTTGCAAGAGAGAGTGTGAGTGTGTGTGCACGCGCGTGTGCCCCCAAAATCTAGTGACTCCCCCACAACTCATTGCCCTCATGAGGACACTGAGCCCTTGGAGGAGGGCAGCTTGCCTTGGGCTGCGAGTGTCAGAGACCAGCCCTCCTCCTCCCCAGGCTCTGTGCTGACAATCCCAGGCCCGAAGGGCTCCCCCGGCAGGGTCTAGGCTGCCCCTGCATCCCTGGCGCCGCGGAGTGAGTGCCGAGCCCAGGGCAGGGCCCAGCGCCCCCTGCTGGCCGCACCTCCCCCGGGAACCTCTCCGTCCTCACTGCAGCGACCCCAACAGCTGGCCGGGGCCTCTGCCAGGCCCCGAGTGGATTCGTGCCAGAAGTTACTGCTGGGTTTCTGCAGGAGTCAAGCACGTCAGCCTCGGGCTGACCCCAAGTTTCTGGTGCTGGGTCCTGCTGCTGCGGGCTTGAGACTGTGGGTGTGAGAACTCGGCGGTGAAGTGTGAGGGGCGAGTGTGCGAACGTGCCGTGTGAATGGACAGGAGTGCGCGTGTGTGCGTGTGGACTTGTGTGCTCCGTGGCTGCATCCAGACGCCTCAGTAACAGCCCCGCCCCAGGCAGCCAGAGGGGGTCCAGGCCTGGGCTTCATTCACCACGCCCCTCAGGGAATCGGCAAGGAGGCATCTGCAGGTTGGTCCAGCCCCTGGGCAGCAGAACAGACCAGAGGAACCCAACCTCACCCAACGCCCCTCACGACCCCCGCCCTCTCCGTGGAGGCCTGGGACCCCGCAATAACCTCAGTATGGGTGAGGCTGCTCCCTCTGCCTGGCAGTGCTCCATCCACCGTCCCACACCACACCTGCCAGGGTCCCTTCTGGGCTTCTAGGACATTGGAGGGGGCTCCTTGATGGGCCAGGTTAACCAGAGGGCACCCTGACCATCCTCTGGCCTGGAGCCCCCACCTCTCCACTCACCCCTCATTCCCACCGCGCAAAAGGGCTATAGGTCCCCCTGCCCTGCCTGGGTCCAGTTTACAAACAGTGCGGTTGCTCCAGGGCCTGGCCCCAGTCTCCTCAGTGTGCCCGCTCCCTTGAGACCCACCGCCCAGCGGGCACTGGGGCCCTCCACACGCCAGGTAAGTAGCACACCCCCGCTCCCACCAAGGGCCACGTCTCTGAGGCCCCCCCATCACTGCCCCCGGCCCACCTGGAGTCCATCCGGGCGCCTCCCAGCCGCTACTTCTCCTTTTGCCTTAGGCCTCTCGACATCCTGTCGCCTGCAATAACAAGGAAGCGAGACCCCAAGTAGACGTCCTCGTGCACCCCCTCTTTCTCTGTTAAGATCCTGTCCGGGAGTTCTCGCCCTCGCCCTGTCTTCGTAGTACCTAGGGTGTCAGCGTGTTAGCGTTGGGGAGGGACTGTAGCGACCTAGCCCAGCCCCCCGTTTTGGGAGGCGCAGAGGGGCAGCGGTGTGGGGGCCGCCGCACAGGCAGGACAGGCCCAGGTCTGCGCCTTCGCCGACTCCCTCGCTGCCACCACCTCTGCCCGCCGGGTCGGGACCCTTTGCCCCCTTAGGAGAGGTGTTGGTCTCAGATGTTTACCTCAGTTTATGTCACTGTCGAAGAAACAAAACATAAATAGCAAAAAATTAATAACACCGTAGATATGAACTTAGAATACAAAAAAAAAAAACACAAAAAAATCCCCCTGCGACTCCTCTGTGAAGGTGTGTGTGTGCGCGTGTGTGCGTGTCTGTCCCAGCCCCGGTGCCCCCCCACCGCCCCCCGACCTTCGGTGCTTCCCAGAGGCCCCTCTGAGCTGGCCCGTGGGGCGTGGGGAGCCCCCTGGGTGGGAGGCAGGGCCAAAGTTAGCTGGAGGGTCTCCCACTGGGCAGAGTCCTGCGGCACCCGCTGCCCCGCGTACCCACAGGGTCGCGGGGGGACAGCCCTAGTGGCCGGCATCAGAGTCCAAGCCTGGCTCAGGGGCCTGGGGGAATCCCCGCCCTGAGCCCCAGACCCCCGTGTATTGCCCCCCCCCCGTGTTTGTAAATATTCTGGCATCCGTTGGCCCTGAGAAGGTTTTTAAATGTGTTATTTACTAATCTAATCACAACAGTTGCTATAAAATAAACAAAAGTTTAGAAAAAGTATCACTCAGTGATTATCTTATTTCAGGTGGTGGCGGGGGAGGGAGCTGAAAGCCAGCGGATGTTCTAAGGCGACACCTGCAGAGTCTGGGAGCAGTTACCCCTGGCGCCCCGGACCTCTCAGGCCCCAGGAGGGACCATGGAGGGAACAAGGGCCCGGGTTCTCCGGGAAGGGCTGGAGGGTGGTCCCGGGCCCAGAGTCCAGCTTCAGCTTGGAGCCCTTCCGTTTGGAAGGAGACACAAGGTCTAGAGGAACAGAGTGGGCGGCTTTATCCAGTCACACTCAGCAAACAGTCCCCGGTAGCTCTGGGCCCCAGGCTCCCTTCTCGGCACAGGGCATCTAGCCGAGACACGACACTGCCCCGGCAGCCTGCTGGACACGACACTGCCCATAGAAGCGGCGGCTGTGAAGCTTGTATCTGGGAAGCTGGTGGGTTCTGGAGGAGCTGGGAGCGCCCTGAAAACAGAGACCAGAGGATTGGGAGCCCTCTGGGTGTGGGCAGTCAGTGGGACCAAGGGGAATGGACTGTGGCTGCAGGCTCAGAAGCCACAGGCAGATGGAAGCAGCCGGGCAGGCTGTGGGAGCTCCACGATTCAGCCTTCACTCAGCACGTGTCTACTCATTTCCCACGTGTGTGGCCAAAGCAGTTCTGTTGGCCCGGCCCTGAGACGAGTCTGCCCACAGCCGAGTGCTGGCCCCCTCCCCTGCTCCAGGCGCTGGGCAGCCCTTGCAGTAGCCCCTCCCTGCTCCCCAGCTCCCTAGAACCTGCTCAGGCTCACCTCAAGGTTGTGCGCCATCTCCCCACTAAGAGCAGAGACAGTGTTGGGTCAACTGTTACTCCCTTCACACGCACCCCCAAGCCTAGTACTGGGCCTGGCACATAAGAGACCCACCGCAACTACTGCTCAAATGAATGTCGTAGTGGGAACACCGCACACGGGGCGGGGAGAGGGGCTGCGGCCAAGTCCCCCAGCACCCACAGGTCTTTACTCTCTGGGCTCTCCCAGGGTTCTCGCAGTCACACCGCTCATCTCTCGGGGTGTCCTGAGTGACACCGCCCTTACAGCGCAGCCTCTAGGGGCAGGTGTGCCCACTGACGCATGCCCACACCATACGTGGGGGTGCGTGCACTCTCCAGCGCCTTCTGCCTTAACCCGCTCAAGGCCGCAAGTGATAGCCGCAGAGGCCAGGGGTGCAGAAAGCCTGATGAGTTCAGTTCCCCTATACATGTGCACTACTGTTTGGGAGACGGCAACAGACCATTCCTGTTCCCTAAAGGAAAACAGACATTAAATAGACATAATTACCGATGAAATGGGGACTGAAAACGGGAAAGGAAAATAATTCCACCCAGACTGGATCAAAGGTCCCTGGACCAAGAATCCGATCTAGGATATGCTGAAGAAAATAGTGCTTGAAAATAGTGTTTGAAAACGTTGTTCACTGCACTTGCAGTGTCTGCACCGAGGGAGGTCCCTACCCTCAGGGCGCTGACCCCTTACTTGACAGAGCACTGTCAAAGCTGTTGAGGATGGAGAGGAGACCCACCCGCAGTATCAGCCCAGGGCACAGCACCTGTTCGCAGCCCCGCGTCAACTCCAGGACTGACCACTAGGGGGCTTTGGCTTTCTGCTGCAACCGCTGTCTGCCTCCGCGCTGTTTGCCAGTCGCGGGCCAAAGGTGTCCACCACGAGGGTTTCCCGCCGCATCCACATTGGGCACTTTCAGCCAGGCCAACCCCAGCCGCCACTTGGGCCCTTTGTCTCGCTGAGTCACTTTCCCGGGGTGAGTTCCCTGTTGAGGGCACTGCAGTCTAGACCAACGTGGTCCCTCCCAGGTTCCCGTACCACTAAAGGCAGAAGAGGAAAGACTATATTCTTGATATCTTTTTCCCCCTAAGGTGCCCCTTATGCCCTATGCAAATTTACCTAACTGTTCTGCCAGCAAGCACTGTGGACTCCAGGTGACCGAGAGTCTCAGAGACCTCAGTGGATTTTTCCAGGCATGTTTGCTCTCAGGGAACCAGGCGCACCAGGCAGGAGGCTGGCATGCGAGGAGGCAGGCACAGGCTGGCAGGCGGAGGGCAGGCGGGCAACTGTGAGTCTTTATGCTTGTTCCCTGGGCTGTCTGGCGTTCTCTCATGGTCTCCCTCTTCTCTAGTCCCTCCACTCGTCCTCCCCTGGCCGTCCTCCCCCAGCCTTCTGAAGGCTGAGTGACGCCGCCCTGCCCTTATATGCCGCCTCTGGGCTCAGGTGCGCCCACTTCCCTGTGCCCCCACCATACTCCAGGTGTTTGGTGAAACCTAAAAGCAACATCATTCCAAATAAGAAAGCCATTTCCTTTAGAATCAAAGCAAAACTCTGTTTTGGAGTTCTGTCAAATAAGCTAGGTAAAAAAATGAAATGTTCACTATTGAAAAAAAAGTTAATATTGTAAGAAATCATGTGCTAGAAGCAGAAAGAAGGGGATGTTTTGTCCACATCTGTAGCATTAGGTAAAAAGTTTAATAGAAAGTACAGAGTGTCTCTGAAAAAAAGAAAGTGTTGGAGGACAATGAATACAAGCTAGATCCAGAAAATGGAAACCTAAAGCATCAGGAAAATATGATGTCCTCAAAACAATTCCAATTAAATTACTTTTAATTAAAAATCAGTTAACATATTTAATTCCTTGGCAGTGCAAGGAATTAAAGTGAAATAATATGAAGCTCTGTGCAGCTACTGCAGCACAAGTTCAATCCCTGGCTGGTAGGTGAACTACTTGGCACATCAGGCCTCTCCTGTCTCACCTGCTGCTCCCCTCTGCAGTGTGCTTCAATCTTCCTGTTCTGCTCCCCCCTCTGTCTCTGGTGAATCCTCCCACCCCCTGCACCTCTGGCCTGTACCCCAGTTTTGTATGCATAAATAAATAAATCTTTTTTAAAAAACATTATATTAAATCTCACATTTGGAAAATGCCAAAAATCTGCAACCAAGGCAACTAAACAACCCAGAAATGGTCCCCATGATTTATGGGGATTTAAATAATGACAAAGGTGGAATATCAACTTGGTCAGAAGGGGATTGTTTATTCTATCCATTTGGAAAGAATAAAGAAGATTATACCATGAGCTTGATAATCAAAGATGAATTAAGGGCTTAATAAAAAATTTAGAAGAGGGCCCTCCCTGGTGGCGCAATGGGTTAAAGCACAGCACTAAGAAGCTAAAGCCACTTCCGCATGAGTTCGATCCCCGCCTGCCCCGGAGGTGACCACACGGCGCGGCAGACCTCTCCTGACCCGCCCGCTGCTCCCCTCAGCAGTGTACTTCATCGATCTACCTGTTCTGCACCCCACTCTGTCTCTGGTGAAGCCTCTCACTGCCCCTGCACCTCTGGCCTGTACCCCAGTTCTGTATGCACAAATAAATAAATCTTAAAAAAAAATTTTTAGAAGAAAACCTAGTACGTGGGTGGGGAGTGGATTTCAAACTAAGAAGTGAAGCCCAAAGTCTATCACAAATCTTTTAGATGACCACAGGGGAAAGACTCACATGCAGGTAAAAGTCTGACTTGTATCTATAAACACTGGCAAACGCACAGACAGCCCTCACTGATTGACAGCAGAAGACAAACAGCTCAAAGGAAAACAGCTAAGGGCATGAAGAGACGATCACAGAGGAGCAAATCCACATGACAACACGCAAAATAAGATGCCCCATCTCACTGGGAAGCAGCGGGAGGCAGGCTAGCACGTTAAACCCTGCAGGTCGGCAAAAAGGCAAGAAGTGGGGGGAAGCACACGCTCATGTGTTGCTGATGAAACACCAGCTATTAGCAGCCCCTTTAGAAAACAACCTGGCAACATCCCAGATCTTGCAAGATCTCAAAAAATTTACTTATGCGCCAATCTCGGGGAGCAGAAAGTGTACTGCACCAAAGTGAGACAATAATCCCAGGAACATAATCTGATGCTGGAAGAGAGACTGCAGTTTAGGAAAGAGTAGAAAGAACACTGAACCCAGCAAGACATTGGGGGCCAGCGGTTGAGGGGCGCTGGCAGAGATGAGTTTCAAGATTAAATTTATTAAACCACTTAATCCAGCGGGGCATCTTGAGAAATGGCTTAAATTGGCAGAGAGTGTGAAATTGAATTAATAATAAGCACAAGATTATTTTAATCA